AAACAAACAAACAAGAAAGCATAGCGCAGCAAAACGCGCCTTGCAACAAAGCGAACCCGTGGATTTCTCTTACTACGTGTGAGGCCGTACATGACATTGTTGAGGTCACACACGGATCTCCTCCTGCCCAAATGTCCTCGGGGAGGTTTGTGTCAAGTTCAGGGCAGTTGTCCCCAGCAGGACCTCTGGCACAGGGGAGGAAGATGCTGCTGTGGTTGTAACCTCCATGGGCGGTGGGACTGGCTGGGACCACGTCATGGTTGGTGCAGGCCTCGTAGGTCCTTCTGTGGGTTGGTCACGGAGCCTCTCAAGAGCTCCTCGTTGATTTTAATCTTTACCTTTTAAAACCACACGAAAACCATGGCCTTTTGTGCCAAACTGTCTCTGAAGCCTTCTCTGCTGTGGGAGTCTGGGCATGGCTAGATTTACGGCAACGCCTCCCTGCGCAGCCTGTTGGCATTCAATCATCTAGGACGGGCCCATTGTCCTCCATGAGCCGATGACATGTTTCCAGTGCAGGCCACAGCACAGATGTGCGCTCGCATTTCCCCTCTCAGAAACTGTGATCTGAGGCACTCCCGATGCTAAACAGCCCCAGATGCCGTGGCTGTCCTCTGGGCTGCCCACCTCGGCCTTCCCACCACAGCTGGGCTGAGGAGAGGCCTCCCCTCAAATCTCATTTTTTTTTTTCTGGAAAATGCAACTTCGGGAGACTGTGGGGGAAATTAAAGGGTTTGCTGAAGGCTTGGCTGCTTCGTTGGATGGAGCTGTTCCTCAGAGGCCTGCAGAGAGCCAGGTAAGGTGGCCCAGGTGTCAGGAGCTGTGGTCTCCTCACAGCGCTGAGTGAGGAGGGTGAGACTGGGAGGGGGTGTGCCAGAAATGCAGAAGTTCTCACCAGATGCGTGTTTTAGGGTTGACGGTAAGGAAAGAAGTGTATCATCATTCTGTCTTAACAGTTAGTCAGGGCTGGGGCATTTCTGGTAAAGACCCCATGACTAACAGCGCAGTGGGAAGTCCAGAGGGCTTCATGAACTTCATGACGAGGTTTTCAGTGCCTTCCTTGAGGTAGCTGCAGTTTTCACAAATAAATATGTTCTCTTAACTCCCCTTTCTGTTAAGAGGGGAAAGAAAAAGTACATCTTGAAAGCCTGAGTATGCAAAGCCTCTCACACTTTGCCTCCTACCAAGCCCGGGTGCTCTCGGTCCCCGGGTGTCTGCAGGCGAGCACCGGGAGGGACGTGCTTTCGGTGGAAGGTTCTTGTGCCGAGTCCAGAATAAACACAGCATTTCTTAACTTCTGTGAGGAATGCAAGCAGATGCCACGGAAATGAAAGATCCTGTTTAACACTGATATTGCAACCTTGATCTTTTTTTTTTTTTTTTCTGAGTTGAAATGTGGGAAAACATCATAAGATGTTGCAGAGGGTTTTTGGAAAGCCTGTGTTTCACACGCACTGGGTTTGTGCAATGCCTTTGTAGGTGGTGTGTGGTTTGTGTCAATCATCAGTCAGGTGCTAATGGTGATGGAGCTGCGTGCAGCCTCTGAACCCGACACCTCGCGCTGCTGATCTTCGCAGACACGTTTATACAAGCTGGGGGACTGCAGACTTGTATCCACACTTTCCTTTCATACTTCAGGAGAAGGCAGAATACCACTTCTGCAGCATCCTCAGACGTGCTCCTCAGTCCTTCCTTAGCCTTGATACCAATTCAGCCGTTTCATCTTTTCCCCAGCAGACTAAGCAACAGCACAGATTGGCTGTTATAATTAATTTTGTGCAGGAAGCACGAGTGTAATGTTTTGAAACCTCCTGATTTTCGCTCTTGTTAAAGAGGACGCTCCTCGTAGACCTTTACTGGTCTTCCAGTAATGGAAAATGTGACACTTTTCCTGGGGCTGGATGTGGGTTTGGCAAAGAAATTTTAGGGGATCAGTGTTCCTGACTCACCAGATAGAGGTTGTAGCAGCTTTTAAATGAAGTTTGTTGTTGGGGCAATTTGTGCCCATGGCTTTTGTGTTTTTCCTGTCACAGCTGGGTGCTGCTTGCTGCTCTTCTGAATCCACCACCAAGAGCACGTTATAAGAAAGGGAAACTCCCATGTCAGCCCTAGTAATACCAGTGTGTCATGATGACACCATGCACTCTCAGGGCTCTATACCTTCTCTAATTATTTTGTTGATTTTAATTATTTTTTTTGGAAATGCTGTGTATCTATTAGCGTGGTCCTAGAGTGCTCTGCAGAGCTGCTCCTGCCAAACAGTGAGCAGTCCTAAGAGTTGTTACAACTTTAGATGAGAAGTGGAGGTGTTCAGCAATTCTCAGAAGTGTTCGGCACCTTCCAGGATAGAGCAATTTAGAAAAGAAAAAAAAAAGGAAAAACAACACACAACAAAAAACATGAGATGTAGTTATGCAAATTATGACCTTTAAATGCATTTTATATTTGGATTGAAGTTGCTAACGCATTCTTTCCAAGTTCTGTTTTCCAGCATGATTCTGCTTTGGGTGCCTCTCTTTGTATCGGTGCAGCGGCGCGGTGCCTTCCCGCGGAGGGAGAGCAGGACACGGGGCCTCCGAAAAGCAGCCACCCCCCTCCGGGACGGGCAGCACATCAGTTAGCGAGCAGTCTGAATAGGTGGATTTTAATTTCTCTGGAGGGTCTGACCACGTTAACTAGATGGCAGATTCCTCATTAGCTAGATGGATTAAAATTTGTATCATGGCTGATGCCTATCCTGACTAATACGTGTAAGTAACAGCTCGTTCTACTAGAGCTATTGGACGTGGCTTGGGTGGAGGAGAGGAATTGGCTTCTGCAGAGGATATTTGCAGAAAGTCACATTTCCACCATATGTTAGCAGGAGTCTCTTTGGATGCAGGTTTTGGATAGAGTCCCCTGTGTTGCTGTAATCTGGTTTGTCCTTTTTCTACCACTAGTTCTGAATCATACCAACTACTTGGACTCTTGTGCGTGTTTCCTTGAAGGACAGTGGGAATGTTTCTGCTGGCTCAGCTGCCTTTCACCTATTATTTCATCTCGATGAAGAAGTAAGGTCTAGGGGGCTGAAGGAGAAATTTTGTGTCTGTCAGAAGTGAGAAGTGTTGCAAAAAAAAAAAAATCCAAAATTTCTGCCCAATTAAAAAAAAAAAAAAGGTACCACAAACCTCATCAATCCTGATTTAGGTCTGGCTTTTGACAAATCATTATGTGGGAAGGGAAATATCCCTTTAATTTTTAATAGCTTTGCAGTGAAGTTTTATTAGGCAATAATCTGGTTCCTGAGTGGATAAAAGATAAGGTTGAGGGCCAAGTAATTTTTTCCCCTCCTGTGCAATTGGGAAAGGGAGAGAGGGGTCATGGTGAGACGGCTGCCTTATGAAACTCAAAGCAGCATCCTTCTCTGTGCCACAAGCATACAAAATGCTTCCAAATGGATATTTACAACATAAATATGTTCAGGATGTGGGTAGCGAGAGAAGTGTGGGAATAGACGCGAAGGTGCATGGGAGTGGGGATGCGAAGGGGGAGGTGTGAAGAGAGCCAGGAGAGTGTGATGCACATTTTGCAGATAACTTCTCTTCGTGTGCCTCCTTCCAGAGCCTGGGTGTGGACTTCCTTCTCCTAGCAGCGTATCCCGGGGTTGTATGTGCAGCACAATGAGGTTCTCCTACCCATCTGTTGGCTAATGTCACTGCATCATTATTTCCCCAATAGTTTTATTGTCAGGGAACAGCAGCTGATAGTAAGTCTGGAGCGGTCAAGTAGCTCCATTCTTAGTTTTCTTCATTGTGGTTGGTGTTTCCCAAAGTATTTCTCAGGCACCGCATGCTGTAGACATTTCACTGGCACTTAATAAAGCAGTATAGGGCGCTCCTCGATAATATAATCCTTATGCCAGCCCGGTTGCTAAACCCATGAGTCCCCCAGGCAGTAGTAGACAACTACTCTTGGCGTTGTTGCTTGTTTTACTGTTGTCTCGGATGACTAGGCAGCGTTTCTGTGATTTTAAGGCAGCGTGTTATTGCCAGTATCTGGGATGAAATTACCACTTACAGATGTAGAGGTGAAAATCTGACTCCCTTCGGCTGCTGAGAAGCACCGAGCATCGCTGGCTCGGGGGAGGCTGGCGGCGTGGAGCACCTACGGCGTGCGGGTCGTTTCGGCTTGCACTGAGCACCAGGAATGAGCATCTGGCCCCTTCTTGTCTTTTTTTTTTTTTAACATCTGCTTGCCTGATTGTTTTCTTTTTTTTTTTTCCTTTTTTTTTTTTTTTTCCTGTGGCTCTTTTAATTTGTGGTGAATGTGTATTTAATGTAAGTAAGATGTTAGCTTCTGTCTAGTTTTTCAGCAAGCATTCCAGTAATTACTGGAGTACCTTTGAATGCTACAGCTGCTATTTCTAAGTTAAGGAATCACATTTTCCAAGCGTTTCTAACTGAATTCACATGGGTAAAACTTGGCATTCAGATTGCCGGCCCACATATCTTATTTTGTCTTGATCCTTTATGTGAGCATATCAGCTTTGTGTTTGATTAAATGGTAAAAATGCCTTCTCGCTGCTTTGGGTGGGCTTGGAGTAATACTGCTTTGTGGAACTGTTTTAATTAAGAAAAGAAATAAATACTGATTTGGGCCTTGAAATTATTTGTTTGTAGTTACTACTGTGGGATGGTGGCTTTTATTTAATTATTTATTTTTCCCCCTTCTCTCTGTCCTCCTCACCCTTTATTACTGTGAGGGAGTTGCTCGTGTTTTAGCGTTCCTTGTTGGTATCTCTGTGAGGAGCTTCTCACTACGTGGATCGACTCCTCCTCTGCTGATGGCAGGAAATGCCTTCGTGCCAGAGGATGCTGGCCGAGGCCAGGCTTCCCCCTCACCCGCAGCAATAGTAACTTGGCTTTTCCGAGTGCTCCTGCAGAGCAGTGAGCCCGGTTCCTATTGACTGGGAGGGTTGAAGAAAAAAAACACAACACAAACAACAAAACAAAACACTAGTATAATTTAAAATTCCCCCAGCTTTTTTATTTGCAAATCCCAGCATTATGTCTGCAGGCTTGTGATGACCTGCGGATTGGCAGCGCTTTGGGTTGCGCTGTTGGAAAGCACGGCACTGGTTTGAGGATGTCCCGGTGCTGCCATCACAGCTCCAGCCCCATCGGTGCTCTGCATCACCAAGTGGCTGACTTGCTCTCCTTCTCTTTCTCTCTCTTTCCCTTTTTTCTTCTTAAGTTGTGAAGCCTGGTCCAATGGAAATACGATTTTTGCATTGCCACGTCCAGAGACAGATAATTTATTTTTGAAACTCTTTGCTGGCACTTACAAGTTGAAAAGTAATGAGCAAAAAAAATACATATATGTAGGAAGAGCTGTGAAATTTGACCTCCAAATATACAGAGTAGATGTGATAGTTAGAGAGGTTTTCTTTGGAGGAAATAAGGTACATGGTGCGGTTTGTTTCCATGGCCAGGTACGCTAAATGTAGGGCAGAGGAGTGGAACTGTAGAGCTAGCTTGATGGAGCTGGTAGAGCTGAGCACTTCAGTAAATTATATTATTTGGTAACAGGAATTTTGTGAAAAGCCTTAGTCTTCCAATAAAAGTCTGAGAATACTGCCGTTCTTAATTAACTACCAACATTAATTTATGTCACTGTTATTGACAATAGTTTTGCTCCCGTTTTAATATCTGAGCTGCTTAACTCTTCGTTGCAGCAAATGTCCCTTTAATAGGACACATAAAATGATATTCCACAAGTCATTATTCTTTAATTACAATTCAGGAACAAAATATATCCGAAATTGGAAGAGAGATGCTGGATTTGGTCCTGAGCTCAGATTTTGTTGGTGTAGGGCCTGCAGTTACTGATGTTTCTGGGCTCTGGGGCACATCAGAGCAGTGCTGTCCCCTGCACTTTGCCTGGCATTTAGCTGGCTCCTGGAGAAGTGTGTGTGAGTGTGGGGACAGATTTCTTGATCAGGGTCACCTGTGGTTGGAGCTGATGCTGGGGTTGAATGAGTGACTGTCCCAAAAGGTATTTGTGGGGCTGCCTGTGAGCAGAATATAACCCAAATTACGCTTCTTGCTCCTCCGTAGGATAGCCTTGTGCAGTGTGTACGGGTGGGCTCCTCATCCCGTGGCCAGAACCTGCAGGTGAAGCATCCAGACAGGGCTGTGGATTTTGGCTTCGCCCTCCTCGGCGTTTCAAGAGCTCCAGGAATCCAGCCTCTCTGCAATTCACTAAACTCCCCCAGCCCCGCAGGTCTGCCTCTCCATCAGCGTGCTCCCGCCTGCTCGCTGGCTTTGCTGCGGTGCCGGCAGAGCTGCTGGCGTGCCGGGGGGACAGCTCTGTGATTAATGGCACCGCTCGTGGGCTCGCCACCGGCAGCTCCTTATCGGCCGCCCCGCGAAGCCCCCGCGGCCGTGCGCGGAGCGTGGCGGTGGGGAGACGCCGCCCTCCTCGCCCAGGAGTTAGGGCAGGTCGGCCGGCTGCTCTGTGGTTTGTTGTGTCTGGTTTGGTTCCTACTTTTCAAGTTGCAGTTGTATTTGGTCATTTGAGGCTTATTTTCGCAGTCTGGCCAAGCCAGCAGGATCCCCGTGCGCTGCAGGGGAACATAAAACATCAGCCTTTAAGCTGGAGTGCTCAGGAGATAAGGATTTTAAGTCTCTTGCATCGTGCACTGTGTCTTATGGGCTTATTTAGTATACTCCATTTGATTTAATTTAGATATTGAATAAGGAGAAGCACTTCAGGAGCCAGAAAAAAGTATCGCCTCCTCTTTCCCCCGTTTCCTAACAGACAAAATGGCTGGAAGGGCTGATTTGGGCTGGGATTACATCGATTTCATTGTAAGAAGTAACAGGGTGTTTTCAAACCGCTTAAAAATCATGTTACGCTTTATCTGTACTGCTAAGTTTTCAAAAAGCAAGCGAGAATCCATTGGGCTTTTGTTTTAGTTTTGCTTTTCCGTGACTGAACATAAAGAATAACTCCTGGACCTCTGCAAAGGTTAGGAAGTTGCACAGTCTGCCCGCCGGTGGCTCTGCCAGCGCTCCCCCCCTTCCCTTCCCCACTGCATAAACACAAACTGAGAATTGTGACCGGGCTGCTACACGTCAGCGTGCATGCTGATGGGGAGACATTCGTCTTGCTGAAAGCTTTGGGTTTGCTGCTTGTAAACGTTGGCAGGACACAGAGCTGCCTGGGAACAGGAGGGGATGGAGGCAAGTGCAGGGACGCCGCTCGCCCGCAGTGGCACAGTGCTGGTGGCCCTGCTGCTGAGCTGATGAGGACCGGCTCCTATCTGCGCACAACGAGGCTCGGAAGGAGAAGGAACAAAAAACCCACCACAAATGTCTTACCGAGGCAATAGGATGAGCGAAATCTCTCCGTGGTGAAGGCAGCGTGCCTGGGAGGTCTGAGGAGTCACTGGGGTTGTTTGCATCACCGGCTGGCCGCGATGCGCACGGAGTTCATTTCTCTGTGCCCTTCCCTGAACGCCTCCCAAGCAACACTGCAAAAAATGCGTTTGGATCCTGATCAGTCTGCACGCTTAGATAACCTTTTATTTGAGAATATTAATTATTGCATGAGTCTGCGCTGCTATGGAGGGAGCGCAGTTGGGCATTCTCTCAGCCAGTGGCAGCCTGGAGGATCTTCAGAGTGGGTGAAAATCATCCCAGAAGCATGTTTAAAAAAAGACAGGGAGAAAAAAAAAAAAAAAGGAAAGAAAAGCAGGCCTCCCAAAAGCTGTGGTGGAACCCAGTATTAGCAAATGCTTCTAGGAAGTTTGACTGAGAGCCATATGGCAGTGTGGAGAGTATTATCCACTGCTCCAAAAGTTGGTCTCTGAATCAGCCTATTGACTTCAACAGCACTTAATCATGTGTTTTAGTTCTCCTTTGAAAAGGGTTGCATTCCTGAATCATGTCCTCTGATTTTAACCACTAGACGGTACTTTGTTTTGTGGTAGCAGACAAGTCCAGTCATATTTCTGTGACTAAGTGTGCAAGTTTTGACTGCACCACTGGTGAAGTATGCTGGTGAATATTCTTCCTCTTATCGAAACCTAAATGAGTGCCGCTGTCCTTGAGTTTTGGGCTGAAATTCGGTGTCTTCTGTGATGCAGTTGGTTGGACACGGCAGATACTGTGCGATTTTGTACGCTCACCTGCTGGAGTGATGCAGATGCTGCCTGCTGCGTGTGATGTAAATAAACACGGGGGAAAACAGTGAGCTCAAAATACTGCCCTGAATTCTGCTTTCAGAAGCCCCGAGTGGTGTTGGTGGTGATTGAATCCATCCATTGAAACAAGACCCAGTTGTGCCAGTCCAAACTGGGGTTGTTTGGATGCTGCGCTACATCCTGGATGCTTGCGGGTTGCTGTGCTGCGGCAGGGATGAACCGGACTCCACCTTTGTTTTGGGCTGCTCAGCTGGGCAAGTGGCTAGCAAGGAAAAGAGGGGGAAATCAGGTGTGATCGCAATTAACTGCAGCTGTTAGGGATTTAAATGAGCGAGGTGCCAGCCCCCTTGCTGGTCTGAAGTGAGGCTGGGAGGCACCGGGGTGCTGCGGGTGCGTGCGTAGCCCTGTGGCACCTCGAGCGAGGAGGAGGAAGAGTAGGATGCTTGCTGGTATGTGCCAAACCTTGCTCCTGGACAAAAGAGCGTGTATATTGCTTGGCAGGGGAGGTGTGAAAGGAATGGGTGTGTTTGTGCTTCCTTGGGGGTGTACTGGGTCGTGACTATTGCGTCCCTGCCTGCGCAGAGCTGATGGACGCAGGCTGCAGAGGTAGGATGTGGATGGCAGCACAGGTCCAGGTGAGTTTTTCCCAGCTGCCCGTGGTCATTCCTCTCTGTGCGCTGAAAGAAGGAGTCCCCAGCAGTTCTTGCTGCAGCCTGTCCCTCATTAAGATGTGCAGCCCCTGTGCTGCCACCTGAGCTGGCACACGCAGGGGACAAACACCGTCCCAGCTGCTAACGGGGAGAGGGGGGCTGTGCTTCGCTTCGGGCCGTACAAATCATGTTTCAGCAGAATTTTTTGTCTCACCTTTGTGTTTTTACAGCTAAAGCGCTTTTTACTTCCCAACTTTCAACATCTGGAATTCGGTTTCAGTTTATTAAAAAAAAAAAAATTCCGAATCTGCAGTCTGCATGAAACGCTGATGGCTTTGCGCTTGCCCGCGGTTTTTTAGCTTTAATTTTGTGTCCTTCCTAAATGCCGCAAGTCCTAAGTAGCTGCACATTCAGATTCAGTAGCTGCTGTTTTCTTCTTTGGCTTAGCCTTAACCATTATTATTATTATTTTTTTGATTATTTTTCCCCTTAGACACTTTTCTAATTGGGGATAATACCAAGCTGATTAATCAAATTAAGCAGCAGAGCAAAGTGGCTGATGCACAAAGCCGGGTGTAGCTGCTGTCAGCGCAGCGAGGTTGTCTTGCTGGAGCTGCTGCGGCTTAGTGGGCCTCTCAGGCTTTTTTTTTTCCTTTTTTTTTTTTTTTTTTTTTTTTTTTTTTTTTAATAAGGTACTGTGTAGATCCTATTGACTTCAATTGTTGATTGGGATGCCTGACAGCCAGGAAATTAAGCCCCTTCTTTGTGACCGAGTTGAAGGCCAGATTTTGAAGGATTTTCAGATGCTTAGCACCAATAATTGGTGTTAGGTGTTTTTTGGAAAAAGTTCAATTCTCATTTGGCCATCTAAATAGGGGTGAGAGATTATGATACTTGTAGCGACTGGTGTTACTGGGATATGATGAAGGTTTTTCAGCAGAACCTGGCACCAAACGAGCTGGTTATTTTCCTGTCAAAATAAGAGCTTTGTTCTTTTGCATTCCTTCTTTATTTGCCGACGCTGAGTGTTTCTGCAAATTCTCATCCTGGAGGAGGAACTTTCCTGCTCCTGCCTCATTTTTATGTGTTGTCTGTGGTGTTTTTCCAGGGGAGGGGGAGCAAAATGAGTCGAGTAAATCAGACAACTGTTGGAAAAAAGGGGACATGCAAAATCAAGTGTTCTACTTGCGTAATCTGTTTAACACCAGCGAGCCACAGAGCCTTGTGGGACACGGGAATAAAAGGAACATCTGTGCAGGCCACATGGCACGCTCCGGAGGAGTCCTCCATCCCAAGCAGCTCTGCTCTATTTGCAAATAAAAGCTCCAACCAACATCAAAAAGTTGAGGTGGATCCCAGCTGAAAGGGGAGAACAAATGTTACCTCCCGTTGCAGCAAAGTGCCCCCAGCCAGCAGCCTTCCTAGGCTTTTTAAGGGTGTTTTGGGCATGTGCTTCTGGTGGCAATTAATGTGTTTGTTTGTTTGTTTGTTTTAAAAAAGGTTGTTTATTTTGGAGACATATCTGGGTTGGAAAATTTTTGGAAACTGCTGAGCTTCTGAAGCTACAATTAAATACAGGTATACGAGATTGAAGCAAGAACAAGGACGATGCTCTTCTGTGCTGTTTGCTTGTTTGTTTTAAATTTTTTCTCTCTTTCTGCTCCCATTGAACGTCCTGGTAACCCATCTGGCAGAGGAGCTGCAGAGATCCCAGGGCTTCCCAGGCTGCTGCAGGCGGCGTGTTTGGTAAACAGCCCCAGCAGCAGGTGGGGCCCTGGGGAGCCGCAGCTGCTCCGGCCCCGCTCCCCTGGGTGCTCCCAGATTTGGGGATTGCTCCAGGAGAGGACAAACAAGCGTTTTGCCTCCGCTTGCCACCCATCGCAGTGCAGTACTTCTCGCAGGGCTGCATGCAGCCTGCAGCTTCGCATCCTCCGGGCAGGCTGTTTGGTTTTTAACAGAGTCGTGCATCGGCAAGCTGGGTAGTCTGCACCAAGCAGGCACGTAGTTTTTAATATGTAAATAGGAGAGGATGCTGGTTTCATCTCTGTTCCAATGTACCCAGGGCGGCAATAACGCTTTTTTTAAATCTCTGCGAAACAGATTGTATATGGCAAAATTAATGTCTCAACTCTCCAAGTATTTTCTCTAAAATATTTGAATTTTTGCATTTATTGTGCCGCTTGTTTGAGATAGCGAACGGTATCAGCCATGTATTCAGAGCTTAATTGGTGGAACACAGATTTATCCTAATTTAAAACAGTCACTTAAAAACAGTTTTGTATATATGTATACATGGGCACAACTTTTCCTACAGTTGTCTGTTTTGGAGCGGTCTCGTAGGCACTGATGTACAAGTAGAACCTGTTTCGTGCAACATGGCTTTAAGAAACGAGTAGTTAAAGCACTATTTTGTACTCATTGCAGTCAATAAACATCCTAATGCTAGTGGCATGTGAGATGATTGAAGTTTTGCCTTTGATCGGGCTTTGAAACGTATCATGCAAAATATAGCCCAGGGTGAAAGTGCCTATGGATGTCTTTTTTCCCCTGGTGTTGGTGTCCTTGCCGTGTGGATGTGTTTGAGTTAACATCGGTTTTGTCCTGCCTGCTGCAGAAAGCACGCTCTGGGTTGGGTTTTCTGCCCCTACAACCCTGGAGCATCAGGACAGGACGGGCACGGTTCCTTGTGCCACAGTGTAAGCTCGTGACAACTCCTGAAATGCATGAAATGCTACAGCCTGGTTTGCAATTTGATGTAGGAAACAGTGATCTTGGTTGCTTCGCCTCCTCCCGAGGTCCCTTCCACCCCTTACCATGCTGTGAAATGTGCTGGGACCAGTGCAAAACAGCCAGACCGTGGGGAGGAGAGGGAATGGGGCTGGGAGCACCAGGAAGGGTGGCAGGGCTGACCTCAGGCGGGTGAGATGAAGCCCGTAGTGGTGCTCCAGATCGTCTGCCACCGCTGCCCCTGAGATGGAAGTAGTGAAATATTAAAACTTGTCTTTCGAATCTGTTCAATATTGAGAAGATTAATTTTTGTTGGGGGCAGATTAATAGGTTTCCTATTCTGATTAATCCAGTGATAATAGAAACGATGTGATTGCTGGAATTAATGAAGCCCAGATTCATGTTCCAAGATTTGATTGACTCTGTGCTCCAGCTCCACAGAAGCTGCTGCATCTCATCACCCCTTGTTCGGCTGGTGAGGATCGGTCTGGGAGTGAGGCGGTGCAGGAGAAAATCTGTACTGGAGGTCACATCGGAGAACCTGCTGGGGAGAAGTTTGGCAGAGTGGCTCGGTTCTGCTCACACCGCAGCTTTATCGGAGTTTGCTGTTTTTAACCCGGCAGGCTATTTTTGTGAAACTCGTCGGAGAGGAGTGTCCGATTCGGATGTGTGGGCGCATCATTAGAAGCTTCAATTTGTCAATGCCAGATCGAACTCAAGTGCGTGGGTAGATCATTAAAGGCTTCAGTTTATCAGAACCGATCTATTCCCTGTTCCTCTCCCTCCTCCACCCTTCCCCTCCCCACAACATAGGGTGTCCCCGCACTGTGGCCCATGGGGTGCCCTGGGCCACGCCAGGCTCCTCCTGGCAAGCAGCCACCATGCCCGGCTCCGTCAGGAGCTGGCGGGGAGGAAACGTTTTGTGGAGTGTTTTGGTGAGGTCAGTTCTCAGTGGTGTAAGAAAAATCCCTTTTTCCAGGCGTGCCATCAAGGTGCAGGCCCAGCTGGGGTGCGATGTCCTCACCTCCTCCCGGCGCTGCCCACCACGGCCCTCATCTGCTGCAGGCCGAATGTATTGTTTAGTCAAGTCCCTTCACCTCACAAATCTCAAAACACAAAATCTTTTCAGCAAGCATTAGCCAAAATGAGCCTCAACTCCTCATCTTTAAATCAGGGCTAATAATCCTTCCCTCCCCTCCAGCCCTATCGTGGCTCAGGCCTGCTAAGAGTCGCACGCTGAGGTGCCGCAGGTCAGCCGGGGAAAGCTTGCCCCAACACGTGTAGAGGCGGCTCTCTGCTCAGCTATATACCCATCTGCATATCTGTCATCGAGCATGGTGATAAACCCAGCCTCGGCTCTGTGCTCCTCACACTGCTCCCTTGCTCCTCATGAATAAAATGGAGCCGCCGTCAGCTGCGGGTCGCTGTCGGTGCATGCAGGTATTTGGGAGCCTCAGAGAGAGACGTCACAGTTTAGCATCAGTGGTGTCCGAACACCCCTTTTGGATCTATTTTTATTGCGTAGCACAGCTTTATAGCAGGGTCGCATAATCCCTATATTTAGGTTTCTGAACTGTTGTGATCTGCTTTGAGCTGTAATGCATTCAGCTGAGGAGGGGAGAAAGCCCGGAGGCCAGAGAAGAACCTTTTTTATTTTATTATTTTTGTCTTATAAAATTCCGTGCAGTCGTTGCTAAGACAGAAACTTCCAGATGTTCCTCAGGATGGCTGCAGTGGGCTGCCAGAACAATTAACTCCCTGAGGCCGGGTCCTCGCCACCACCAAAGCTCTGGTGGCTGTGGCAGGGCTGGGAGCAGCCACCACACTGGGGATGCTACGGAGGGAGAGGACCGGGTAATCGGGGGCTGGAGGCACCGTGTGGCATCTTAGCCTTCATTTTTGTTTCCTACAC